GGAAGCTTCTTTTAAAATTAAATTACAACATAAACTTTTAATTTTTTAATTTCATGAAAACTTTGCCATGCGTGATATGCATTTATGATAGTTATTTATAATCTAGATCTTATCAAAGTTTATATATTACAAACTGAAAATACCCCTTAAACACTATACCGATACAGGCAGATGAAACACTCAAACAGATAATTTAATAACATTTATCAAATGACATAATTTTTTAATTTTTTAAATTAAGATAAATCCATATGTACCGAACAGGAAGGCCATTAATATTGTACCCAGATAAAGTCTGACTCCAATTTATATCCCATTCAGTCACGTCAGTCTAAAACAAACACTAAAAAGACCCTGATCATATCATGACAAGTTGCCATTGGTAACAAAATGTGAGTGTTCATCAAGCAGTAATACTCCACAGCTCATGCTGTGATGTAAGTTATAAAGTATCTGTCGTTATTTTGATTATCAATTCAATTTTGCTGAATTTGCATCGGTAAAATGTAAAAGCATGAATTAGATACATTGCAGGAAATAATTGGATTGTACTATAATAATATACCAGGCTTTTGGCGTTCATTTTTCACTGGTTTTGTCACTGTGAGTACCACAAATGTCCTTTAATTTTGAGATTAATTGAAATATTTCCAAACTATCTTTTTTAATAAAATATGGAATATGATAGCCAGATGAATTTATAGCTACAGTACAAATCCATTTAATCAGAGTACTTCATGTTATTCCAGCTTTTGAATCACTTCTGGATCCTGTTGAAATGATAAAAATCTTGATTCTTTTATCAAATTCTCCATTTTGAATCCATTAATAATTCCCAGGGTGCTAGTGACTGGTTCCCTTGGCAACAAGAGGAGACACAAAAGATGGAACTCTTTTCACAAAAACATTGAATGAGAATTACAGCTACCACTGCAAATGACAGAATGATTACCATACCAAAGAAATTAGGTCCAGCAAACAAAACATGTTTGTTTCCAGTGAAGTGTTACATGCGTTAAACGATTTTTTCTTTTCATTTTTTAATAAGGAAAGTGAAGTGGATTTTAAGAGTGCTTCCTTAAAATTTACCAAAAATGTTTAGGGTAGGCATAGCAATAAAGGTTAATAGGGTGAACAGAAACAAAAAATATTTTATATTTGGCCTTATAATATTCATATTCAGAAATGAATTATGTGAATGTACAGTTAGACCATCCTAATCTGACACCCTGTGAGATAAAATGTATTTGTCAAATTAGAAAGGCTGACAGAATACTCTGGTCATATTTGGTAATTTCCTAAGCAATGAAATATTGTACTGTTTGATTAAAAAAAAATGTTGGAATACACAGGATTCACATTAGACAGGTTTCACTGTATAAATGCCTTATTGACTGCTAATCTACGTTTTATTCGAAGATGATGTACACACTACTAGGAGCACTACGCCATGATATTAATTCTGTCCAATGAATTATCCAGAATGGCTCTGTGAGTCGTAAAACAGTATCTTGGCAATGGGAAGATGCAGAGCCACTTTACCATTTATCAATAGTGATAAAAACGTGAAATAGCTGTCCATTTCAAACTCGCCTTGTCTCTGAAGACAGATTGACCACAAGAGGAAATGCAGAGTTTGCATTTAACAGTTTTGTATATATCCTTGGTAGAACCTGCGTATATGTGTTGTTTATAATGCAGGACAATACTGTCTGGTGGTTCTGTATACCGCAGCACTATATGCACATCATAACAGAGCATATAGCTTTCTACATGGTATTAAACATGGGATTATACGAAACATATACATTTTACGTATCAAATTCTGTAAAATCACTGAAAGTTCATTCGATATATACAGGATTTTACATGAGTTTCCATTTCATATGAGATTTATGAAACGAGTCTTAGAATAATTCAATTTAGCGAGCCTCTGGCGATTTCATATTCCATATGAAATGAAAGCAAGTGTAATATCCTTTTTATCACATTATCAAGATTTGTGGCATTTATTCGTGTAAAACGACAATTTTCATGCAACCTTGAAATGTAAAAAGTTGCCATTTTGACTCCAGTGCGTAAGTCTGTGACGTCATGTACTTGTCCTAGGCATGACGTCACAATTGAACCAATCACAGGGCTGATAGGTCATATTACATGGGTTATAATATGACATGGGTAATATGCACTGGAAAACACGGTACATTATGGGATAAATATGTTTATCCAGTACATTGTGTGACAAATATGTTATCATTACTAAATAGATACAAAATGATTTGTGTACAGATGAAGAATGAAGGAGAACTGGTATAATACACATCATTATACCAAACTTCTACTGATATTCAACACTGCTTTGCACTTATCCCATCCCATTGAATTGTTGAAATTTTGTTCAATGTAAATGCATGCTATCATTGCTAAATAGATACAAAATGATTTTTGAACAGATGAAGAATGCAGATTAGAACATAAATGGTATAATATACATCATAATACCACATATACCAATCTCATACTGAAATTCTTAATGATCAGTTATTTATATGTAAAGAAACTATAACTCAAAGTGTGCTACGCTTTGCTTCAGATGACAATTAGTTATAAACCATTATCATAGTTATAGTAATAGTTTGAGGTTCTTATATACCGCTTTATCACAACCTTAAGTTCGTAGGTCATCTCAAAGTGGTTCACAAATTATTATCCCTGGTTATTGGGCCTTTTCAACCAGCCAATATCTTTCCCTACTCCCTCCAGGGGAGCATACAGCCATTGCTGCCATTTCTGCACTAGCATTCAACAATTCTAGGACTGTCCAATAACGTACTCATTTAAAGCTGGTAAGACTGGAACAAGTGGAGTAAAGTATCTTGCTCAAAGATACAACACAGTGCTGTGACTCGAACCCGTAACCCTTCGGTCACGAGCCCGACGTCTCACCATTAGACTACCGTGCCTCCACGTTATGTGATATGTATATAGTACATAGGTACATTATTAGACCTAGGAAGGATTAGAAGTACATTTGTACATAAATGATTGTTACCTGTTGCCAGAATGTCAGATTGCATGGTCTTAATAACATAAATTGGCCAACATTTCCAGCTCTGCAATGTCCAAACAAACCACCTAAATGTACTTACTTATATACCTTATAGGCCAAGTGGTTCTAAATATACAATTACACAACCCAATAGGTGCAGTAGCAGTAGTGTAGTAGTAGTACTGGGACCATATAGGCTTATCTGTTTATCACAAACATGGTACAAATTGTCAGCCTAGGAATGTCTAGTTAGGTCACCTCGGGCACATGTAAACAGATTATTAACTCAGATATAATAATTCTGTTTTATCGGTGACTATTTGTGTACACCTGTCCCTCGGGGTAAAGGTGACTCAGGTCAGTTGACCTCTGTCCACTACTGCAAATTCTACAATGTAATGACCAGAGGATGACAGATACAAATTACGTAGGTAGCTTCTGTTTGATAAAATATCATAAGGAAAATATATGAAAAATCTAGAAAAATTATGGGTGTTGTTTAGTATAGTTATTAGGCAGACATTCATAAATTTTCGAAACACAAAAACAACTGTTAGACCTGTCCTATAGCCTTATATGACTGCCAATATGTCAGATGAGGAGAAAAAATGAAAAAAAGCTGGATTTGATCATACTGTACAAATAATATAGTATTGCACAAGTCACAATAGCATAAGTCACAAGTCATAAATCATACTGCAGTACTCACACTGCACAAGCAGATACAATTTTACATCTCAATTAAGGTTTAAGTATATATTAGGAAAATACATGTACATTGTAGAAAGAACGAATGGCCATGCATTAACCATCTTAAAACAGATAGCTACCATATATACATGTATATACTACAGGGTTTTAGAGAATGATAGAAACTTTAAACTGAAAGTATAGTTTTCAACAGAGACCCGATATCATTATCTATATGCAACTAGGGTATATACCTGTAGGTCGATCCTTCCATGTATTGCATATACCAATCTGGTACAGCATCATCAACTACTAACTCAACATATAATATACCTGTTTGTAAATTACTTTGAAAGACACTCAAGGTTGAGTGTAAAGAATATTTGTAAGACACTGCAGGCAAAGTATCCTCGGAAATACACTCGTAAATGTACACAGGGCATCATCATGATCTGTCAAAGATGAACATATTACCTGTCGATGAATCTATAGTACAATCTGGTCAGTCCTTGCTATCTGTCGGTGAGGATCTCGACTAAGTTTGAGAGTATCCGTGGGGCTAGCTGTCCAACCATAGATAATTAAGCTGTCGCGATGACACGACGGTCTTTACAACAATCCGAAATATACATGTGTGACCCCTTTCTAAATAGGCGGTGCATGTAATTTAGATAAAAAAACACACAAACCCAGAGCCAAAGGGCCGGAGTGATTAAATCTCTAATCTGATAGGGAAACTATTTCCTAGGACTGCCTGATAAACCCAGTTTATTTCTCACCTGTACATATATATTAAGGTGTATTTCTTCAACAGGTAAACACGATCGACACTGGTATATAAATAGGTGTGGGTTTACTTCACAACTTAGTGAGATAAATACACACACACACACACACACAGGTAGGTAGTAATAAGGTATGCCAATTTGAATGACAGCACCACTATTTGTATATGTAAGACATTTTAAATGGCTTTGGTATTTGACCTTTGAGATATTAATGGAATTTCATGTTCCTTAGTGTAATCCCCCGACCAACCACAGGGTCTTACACCCAAATCTACATATGTTTACTGTAGGAATTGTAATATCGCAAGTTCATACAGCATTACAGATGTAAATTTAACCCTTCTCTTCATTAAAACTTCTAAACAGGTCATTTACTCACACATGCATGTAGCAAAGCCCATTTACATGTTTCTGTTTCTCAAATAACCACTTAAAGTCATAAAATACATTTTTTAAATACCTCAATTACATACCTTTGACTACATTATACCCTGTGCGGAGGTCAAAATGGATTTCCTGTTCATGCACACTCTGAAATATAAAAGAAAATTTGATAACATTTAAAATATTTTTTAAAACAGTAGCAAAGCTTTCAATCTCCTTCAATAAAACTGTAGCTCTTGGTAAAACCGGTTCTGTCATATATTTTCATAATGAAATTTGAAGTGCATTATATACAGGTATTAGTTTACAACAAAACAGTATTTTGTAAATGGCCAATTCAACACCTATACATGTATTAACAAGTACATATGTTGTTTAACTTTCCATTCAAAAACCATCTTTTCATTCAGACAAAATAATAATTTCTTACACTAGTTGACGAATATTAATAAAACTGTATAGAGAACCTACATGCACAAATGGAGACAGATTTCCTGGTTATTATATATAAAACCATATACGAGAGACACACCTGAATCGCACCTGTGAATATCACACCTGAGCAGGAAATTAACAAATCAAGGCCCCTTATGACCCCGTCAACTCCAGGTACAGGTATTTCCCCTGGGTCACTTCCTACTTCTATACCTGGAGTACTGTGCCTGGAGCACTAGATTTTTAACAGTCCTTGATCATCTGACTTAATCTTGGTACTAAGACAACTTGGTATTACCTGAAAGATTATACCTGTATCCTGTTTACTACAAGGACATACAGGTGATGATAAATATAACAGTCACATGTTAGTAAACAGACAGCTTCACCTCTGTTCTACACATTAAGGCTGGGTGTCTGGTCAATCATGTGCAGGTATACCAAATCTGAGAAACCTAAAGATATACAGGTAGGTTGTACCTGTGGCTGTCTGGTCAGTCCTATAAGTATGACAGATCTGGGATACCTAAAGATATATACAGGTAGGTTGTACCTGTGGTTGTCACCAGATGACCAGTGTGATAAGATTAAAGCATAGATCAGGTGACACCCAGCAATAAAGTTCTCCCCATCTATATCATAAACCTGTTTAGTGGGCACAGCCCCTCTCAGGGGTAGTCTAGGCAATGGGGGAAGTCTGTGAAGGGGAATTTTCAGTTTCAGCTTTTGACGTTACTTCAGAGGAGTACAAGAAATACAAGCAGACATATAAGATTACAGAAGCAAGTTTTAAATACATGTGATATGTCACATATCATTCATAATAAGACTTGCCCTTATATACATGTATGTGTATGGTGAACCAATATATCTGCGAAACTAGACTGTCCCTCTTATATCAAATATGGGGGTATACATCACATGTACACTTGAAAAAAGACCTTATGACAAACAATTAGGGATTGAAATGCCCCTTTTTAGCACCTTTTATGATGGTATGCAACCAGTTCTGTTCAAACATATTCTCCAAATGCACTACCATAAAGTTATAGTTGTCTGCCAAACAGGTTTCAGTTGGTAAATATTCTCCTGTAATAGTTCAGTGAGATAACAGGCCAATGACAGCTATATTGCTTCAATCCTTCAACGTCTGGAAACATGGATGTATTCAGGATCCATCATGTCTAATTATACAACAACACTACGTTGACACACTTATCATTTCATGGATGGACATTCAAATTTTCTTGTCCATAAAATAAACACTGGCGGCTTGTTCTGGAACATTCCACTACATCACTAACAAAGCAGTATGTGTGTCGATGCATGCGCACCTACATAACAATTACTTAACTGTATTATAGAGAAAAATGTTTGAAGGGCTATATACTCAGATAAATTAATTTAAAAGTTAAAAGCTAACCAAAATGATAAAAAAAGTAATGTCCAGTGTATATTTGTGATGTCCACTGTATATTTTTCTATTTTCATTCATATATCAATGTAGAATAATAATATTATACAACATTTGATGTAGCACCCTATCTAGCTAGAATAAGCCACTCTAAAGTGCTTTACAGTACATATAGATATACAACTTATAAACAATCAATACAATTAGCATATATATATTAATCAATACAATTATCAGGCACTAACTACTAGTCCTATGTCACCTGGCATATATCTCCCTATGTCTGTATGCCTGCATGTGTGCTGGAAATGATTGTGTTCTGTTTGTAGTGAGACTTTGCTTCTAACAGTATCATTTGTAGTGCCACCTCACTTGAATACTACAACACAGATACCGCAACATCCACCCCAGACCATTTTATACTCCACCTGAGTTGTATTTTGTATGGGCAGGAGAAAAACACTTTCTCTGAATATTCCATGTGCACAACGACTTCGGGGATCGAACCCTGGCCGCCTGCGTGGAAGGCCGGTAATTAACCAGTCAACCAATCTGCCCATTTTAAGAATCACTAAAATTACATTATCCTAACAACCATGGCTACTGTATTTACCATTGCATCAACCAATTCCAATTAATTTTCTCTTCATTCAGTATTTAAATAATTGCCAACAGCATTCATACCACCGTATCAAAATGAAGGCCAATCCTTATATATTCCTTATGGAGTGCTAATGTGCGCCATAAGGAATATGTTTGTTGCTAATTACATTCATACAACAGTATATGCCATAAAAATGAAGCTCACTCCTTATATAACAACAATTTTTAGTTGGTATGTTTATCTTATGGCCATATAACTGAATTAAATGCTGCTGTTATGAAATGTTTTCTCAACCAGATATAAAATAAAAATAACAGATAAAATAAGAAAAATACAACACTGCATAGCTTATGTATGGATAAACAAAGACCATTCCTATAATACGCTCCAAAGAGACCGGTGGGGGACTAACAGCAGATTGAATGTAATTAGAGATTAAAGCATTAAGTGCCTTTATCTGATAGAGACATCAATATGCAGCTCCATACCAGCGTGTTTGAGATCATGACATAGCAGTATATAAACATGGTATATTCTTAAACCTGCAAGTCATGGTAAGATTGTGGCTATATCATACTGCATTTGTGTATATATGTGAATATCTTAAATACACGTCTGTGCTTTTTGCACTGGTGCTGCTTTGTTCTCATATATGTACAGCAAAATATATTAGGTCTATACTGCCTAATAAATCAGTTTAAGGAGAAATACTAATGCCCTTATTCAGCATCACAGACCAAATAAGGAAAAGCATTTTAATGTATATATTGTACTTATAAATGATATGGGCTGTTTGTACATAGGCCAGATCCCGCACATGCCATATCTGCATTGTATGCACCGTATCACTTCTACTTCCAGTAAAATTGATTCCCAAATCACACATCACCTCAAGACCCATTACCTATCCACCAGACAGACCAGTCTGACATGTTTTATGTGTTATTGTTAATAACTTTCACAGTTACTAATAGTCATTGACAGTGTGTAGTATGATGAAAAGGTTATAATACATCCGTTTTATCTCCTATCCCATAACATATTCTTCCGGGGCCGATATGTAGGCCTTGGGTTGATATGGGGTGTGGAAATAGCAATATGATAACCTTTAATAATACAAGAGGCCCAGATGGCCTATATTGCATGCTCACCTCGATATCTAAGCAATCATGGCAAAATATTCTCCAAATGAGATCCAAAGGAATGGGCCAGACCCCAAGGACAATCCTTGTATCCTATCTGCATTGGATTTTACATGCCCCGCAATTATATGTATGGTTACGGGGTGGGGATTTCAACTGTTTCCAAGCTGTGACTCAGAAACTAGGTCCCTAGGGTTGTGGCAAGACCCCAGGATCAATTCATGACATTTGGATCTCAACCGTTTCAAAGTTATGACCCAGGGGTTAAGTCTGCAAGGGTGGGGCAGACCCGTGGGTCAATATTAGTATCATGACTGCATTCGTCTTTTAATGCCCAATAATTGTATATATAGTTTTGGGGTGGGGATCTTAACCCTTTTGAACTTATGACCCAGGGGTTAAGTCTCCCAAGGGTGGGGCAGACCCTGGGGCCATCCTGGAAGCGTTTGTGCATTCATCTCTTTATACTCAGCAATTGTATATATGGTTATAGGGTGGGGATCTCAACTGTTTCCAAGCTATGTCTCAGAAACTAGGGGTTCCTAGGGTTTTGGTCAGACCCTAGGGTCTATTCTAATATCATGACTGCATTCATCTCTTTATACTCAGCAATTGTATATATGGTTATAGGGTGGGGATCTCAACTGTTTCCAAGCTATGACTCAGAAACTAAGGGTTCCTAGGGGTTCGGTCAGACCCAAGGGTCTATTCTAATATCATGACTGCAATCGTCTCTTTATGCCCAGCATTTGTATATATAGTTTTTGGGTGGGGATCTCAACCGTTTTAAAGTTATGACCCAGGGACTTAGTCTCCATGGGTGGGGCAAGACCCCCTGACCATCCTGGAAGCATATGTGCATTCTTCTCTTTATACTCAGCAATTGTATATATGGTTATACAGTGGGGATCTCAACCATTTCCAAGTAATAATTTTGTTTTGGCCACAACCCTTAGCTCGGGGCCCCACTATTTGCACAATTTTGAATCCCCACTTCCCATGAATGCTTCCAACCAAATATGATTGATTTTCATGGCATACAGATGCAGTTCTACAGAAGAAGTCGTGTATAGCAATATAGCCAAATTGCCCACTTTGGCCCACCCCTCAACCCCCTTGGGGGTCAGCCCCACCATTTGTACAATTTTAAATCCCCACCACCTAAGGATGCTTTCAGTCAAATTCAGATAAATTCCAATCAGTGTTTAAGAAGGAGAAGTTGTTTGAAGAAATTATTGATGTACAGACGATGGACGGCAGATGCCACAGTATGGCATAAGCTCACCTTGGTCCTTCGGACCCGGTGAGCTAATAAGTACTAAACGTTTAGAGTAATTTATACTGCAACTAGCACCAGAATTGCTGGATATATAAGCAGTGAGAAATTCAATCACAGCTGTTTTTGTACAAATTCAGCCTCTGTGTATTAGTGTTCTGAAAATATTAGTCATACTGAAAGTTGGGTGAAGTGACATTTTAAGGTTTAAATTTCTTTACAAACATGACAAACATTTGATTTGGTGGTCATTCTAACATGATCATATATTTTTCTCCCATCTCTTAGTGTGTGATATACATTTCTTTCTCTCATTCCTTTGCATGCATGACAGAACTGTCCAAGGTAAGAAAGATGGGTAAGAAATTTCTGTCAGACACCTCATTTCACATGTTCAACATGACATTTGGATAACCATGATGTGATGTCAGGAAATTTGGAACTTCCGATGCTGCAACGCAGAAATTGAGATGCTTTTTGGAGGTTTCTTATTAGAACCTTATATGCTTTTTGGAGGTTTCTTATTAGAACCTTATTCTGATAATTGAAATGAGAGTAAAAAAAACTCTTGCATACCCAAGTCCCAAGGGACTGGGTGAAGGATAGGGAAATTCCTTCGGATTTTTCAAATTGGTGCCAATCCATCGGACAGCCTTAAGTTTACTGAGTTTGGAAGCCCTCTGGCGGAATTTCACTATTCTATACCCCTTGGCATGAAATAGTCTGATAGTACATTATGTGGGATACACATTTCTCCCACCCTTCCGAGGTGTGTCTCCCATTTTAGCCAGGAGAGATCAGTGTGTCACCCCTAGGGGGAGATAGCCTTGCACCGATTAGCACGTGTTCAATTGTGACGCCATGAAAATGTGTCACTGGTAATTGTGACGTCATCAAAAGTGAATGACGATATGCATACCCCACATGTGCTTTTGTTTACAAACATGGCAGACTACTGCTGGTGGAGTTGTGACTGAAATAATAGGATGGGATAAAAATAATCATCCCCTCCCTTCAGTGTGTAACAGAGAAATCTCAAATCCTCGGGGTGATTCTTTTTGGTTGTCTTAATACCCTCGGCAGAGCCTTGGGTTAGACAACCAAAAAAACATCGGGTAAGAGAAAAAGAATCATTCACATCCTTGAGGTGAAATTCTGAATCTCAACCTTCGGGGAAAGATTCTTAAGTTGCAAAAACACTCTGCAAAGCCTCAGGTTTTTCCCTTCAAGTTGAGATTCCACTATCTCACCCTCAAAGGGTGCACTCAGTGACCTTTACCATCATGATGTCACAATTAGATGATGGCATATAACATTATGACGTCCCAATCGGAAGTCCATCAAAACCACTTGTTTGACAGACTATCTTGTCATCTGCCAATGATACCACCACATGAACACAACAGTTATTACACACTCTTGCCATGAAGGTCTTGGATGGATTTGAAGGTATAACTATGCTGTCCTTTCTACTCTTTCCAAATATGACCTCAATTTCTGTTTCTGTTTCCGGTGTAGAATTTGGTGTTAATTCTGGCCCCAAATCTATCACATACCTACATAATTTTAGAAACAATATACTGGTGTCAGAAAATGACATTGCAATAAATGATATCCTTTACTGTTACTTTGCAGTATTTTTGCATATTTTGTATTTAATCCCATATCCTGTATATATCCATTTCATAAGTCAGCATATGTTACAAACAGCATTCTACATAACTTTCCAGCATGCTAGTGCTGCTTTGTACAGTTTGGTAGACTGGAATGTACAAGGACATAACAACAATATAACTAAGGTTGATGCCTGTTATTATAATATAATAATAATATATAACATTTGATATAGCACCCAATTAGCCCTATATAAGCCATTCTTAAGTGCTTTACAGTACATAGTTATACAATTTATACAATCAATACAATTAGCATATACATTAATTAATATAATTTTGAGGAATTCGCAGGAGCTGCCTTATCAGGTGCTATCTACTAGTCCTATGCCACCTGGCTAATACCTCCCTATGTGTGTATGCCTGCATGTGTGCTGGAGATGTATTGTGTTGTTTGTAGTGGGACCATGCTTCCAACAGTATCATTTATAGGGTCACCTCACTTGAATATTACAGCACAGATACCACAACATCCTCCCCAGACCATTTTATACTCCACCTGGGTTGTTGGAGTTGTGTGGGCAGGAGAAAAACACTTTCTCTGAATATTCCATGTGCACGACGACTTCGGGGATCGAACCCTGGCCACCTGTGTGGAAGGCCGGAGTGTTTACCACTCAACCAATCTGCACATATTTTATTTTTTTCTCCCCAAAACAGGGTAATAAGTTATGTACCAACTCTGCAATTCTGTCTTATTTACATGTGTACAAATACAGCATTCAAAATTACCTGCAAAACTCCAAACTATAATTCAATATGACCTGCCTATGTACCAATATCACAGCCTAATAAGCCAATACAGAATTCATCATGCCTGTCTATCTAACAACACAGAATTCAACATGCCTATCTAACAACACAGAATTCAACATGACCAGCCTTGTATGCACCAACACAAAATTTAACACAGCCAGCCCACCTACAAATACATTACCTGCAAAAGTACCATTGCAGCGTTCCATATAACCTATGTACCATTGTAATAAAGCATTGAACATTACCTGTACCTAAAGCTACAGTGTATATTAAGTACCGGTAATATAGCATTTAGTTTTACCTGTCATTGCAACAAAACAGTACTCCACAGTACCTGGTTATATATATACACTTCCAGTGTAACACTGATGTCAACAACGACGTAATCCTTAGGGGAGTTCCTTACACATCCAGGTCGTCACCGACAGGTACAGAGCGAGGGTACCCGCAGTAAGCTGTTCCCCCCGGTGTGTGTATATAGGTGGCCACCAGGTAGCTATATATGTTTTAAACCTTTATCAAAGGAAACACATCAGTATATTCCACGGTGACACTGAAGTATTGGCCCATATATAGGTGTTCGTCGAGCCGTGACACGCATACCTGGAGTTCCAATAGCCGGTGGGTTCAATCTTGAATTGTACAGCGTGCACGCCCCGCCCGATACGCTAACCTGCAACATTAAAGCTCCCTGTTAATGCATTATTTACCAATAATATAAGCAGCCCAATCAAGCAGACATTTACAACGGATGATGTAAACATCTCCAGTTTACAATAAACATATTTATGTACCACGCCTCATGAAACAATCTGTCACACATGGTCGATGAATGTTTTAATACTTTTTCGTTGATCACATATAAACACATTTTTACCACAATACAACAGGAGCAAGCATTCTTACTTTGTCAAAACTGAGGTAAACCAAGTCCAGATAAATAAACCTAGGATTGAAATATAAAGGAAAGAAAAAATGTGAAATATATTGTATATATATATGTATGTTTGAGGTAATGATTGGTATTTATAAGGAGTTAATGTATATTTCAACAATTGGATTGTGGGGTAAATTGCTTTGCACCCGAGTTTATGTAGGTAAATCGCACTGTTTAGAACAGATTTAGATGTCCAATATTAATTCCTATATACTCACTCTACCATACGTGGTAGCTTATAATTAGAGAATATCTGATAAGTGATAATTGATTATAATTCATACTCAATATAGTATATTTATTCTCAAGTATACAATCTACAAATTTCAGCAAATAAATTATATTTGAGATCATAATTAAATCTCACAAGTTAGATATCTGATTTATTCCATAGCTTGTAAGTCCAACTATCTAATTACTCTGTTCTTAAGGATCCTGGCCCCACTGATTTTTATGTATATGTAGTAACCTCCACTTAACACCGTTTTGAATATAGCAGTAGCATTAAGTTGGGCCCGCTCTATTCTGTTGACCAGTTGGTCAAGTCAGTTACATCGATAATCTAACAGTCTGAAGTCCGAGATTCAAATCCGGGTCTAGCATAACAGGGGGGGACCGAGGAATTAATTTTGGGTGTCGCCCAAAATTTTAAACTCAGAAAAAGACTAAAAAAACCTAATAAATTATAATTGTCATGTCGGTTGTACATGTATACTAATTTCTGGCACCAAAAACTATATAGAACTTCATTATTTCTGAGATGTAATACTAAACTATTTCAAGCACTGCCAAGCGTAGAAAGCAAGAATTTATCGGACATTATTTCCATTGTCAAACAGATCGAATAAGGCATAGACTAGTTTTCTGAGTTTGCGGTATTATTCCAGGTTATATTTCATAACATAGAGTATTTATATTTTATGATGGCCGAGCGGAGCGAGTGTTAACAAATTCTCTGAAACAATGGTAAAAATGTTGGTTTTTGGTTAAAATGTTGATGTTTGTGTCATGCCTTTCATGTGCATGTAGTTTAGGCGAGTATTTTGGCAATTAAATATTGATTTATTTTGTCATAAATATGAATTATGATTTGACTGTCTGTCTTTTATTGTGAATTTGTATGCATGCATATGTACAAGGGCAGCACCTGTTGAGAAAGGATATATATATACATGCCAGGCTGTTATGCTAACATTGGTTATTATTCACCTGATAACGTGATGCTAAGGTGGATACTTTATTGTCTTTGACATTTTTGAAATTTATACTTTTTAATTGGTATAACAAATCACTTCTGGTGATCATGTGTACCTGAAACCACAGGTGAAAATACATGTTTATCTATCATGAAATGGACTCTACCTTTGAAATAACACTTAACCTATATACCTAATTCAAACAGATGGTTTATCCTCTCTCAACGGACAGGGTGTTCACCACACTGTGACATTAGAACTCAACAATACGATTAGGTAAACAGTCCGGTGAGCCTTCACCTGACTGGAGACCCTACTAATATATAAACAAAAGAGGATTAATCCCCTATTGTTTAGAGTATAAGTAGTGGACTCCTTGTTTGGGCAACTGCACCCTTAGGCATATATAGATATTCAAACTGCTGCTTGCCATAGAAAATCATAGTTCACAGAATGGTTGATATTAGAAGGATATCCCATATGAAAAAGAGGAAAATCTTCAAAAACCTAAATCCAGATTATTTTTGGACACAGAAAAAAGGCTGTTGCCCAGGCAACTAGGGCATGCAACACCCCTGGGTCCGCCACTGAGCAAGGATGAGTTTTATACTCAGAACACTAAATGTTGTTGATAACAGTATATAAATATAAAATTTCATTTTTGTTACATTCTCACCAAAGTCCCCTAATTTATGGTTTTCTTTTCAGATTTTTTTTTTTTAAAGCTATAGTCATGCCAAAAAAATACAACTTCCAAAAGGTAGTTACAGTTTTGACAGTTGTATGAGGAGCCTTAATGCACGAGTTTTAATTCTAAATTTACGATAAAAAAAAAATGCAATTTGTTTTTAATTATCAATTTTATGTGCAATATACATCTTCATCAAATAAGCAGATATCATAATCATCATTCATCATAAACAATAGCTTCATTACCGACACATCTCACAGACATGCATCATCCTCATCATCATTCTCATCATCATCATCACTTTTTATTTTTTTATTATACGAACCAACATCTCATCATATTACATACAATGCATCAACATCATCATCATCAAAGAAATATCACAGTGATATCATTCAATATACTTCCTTTCATTTTCGATTCATCATAATGTCATTGTATCGTCATAATCACACAGAGAAAAAAATACAAATCAACACTGGTCATTACCATAAATACTCGCATCATGTACATGTGATCATCATCCTCACTGTTATTATCAAGAAAACAAGAACAAAAAAATATACAAGGCATGATTTCATCACATCCTCATCAGCATCATTCATTACTGCATGCCATCCATACTCTATATCTTATCATTCCTACACATTCTATTTTGATCACCTTTCACATGTCACATGACGCTCACATCCTGACATCATACACAGAAAGTTGAGGGAGCAGTATCAAAACAAATAAACAATAAATTGTCTATTGTATACCTGCAGTGATAAGTAAAGTCAGATTTACATGAATGTATATTGATTGCACTTTATTGACTGGACAGACAAGCCTAATGTAGGAAGAATTAAAGACGTTTAAAGAAAAGGAAAGAAAAAAGGAGAAAGAAAAAAAAATATAGAAACAAAGTGAAAGAAAAGGTTGGGAGGTAGACAAGACATAATATTTTCAGCTTTGCCAAGGGCTGGGAGAAGCCTACTTCAGTACTTGATATATAAACAACAATAACACTGGTATTAATAATAGTAATTTACAAGTAAAAAACAAGAGTACACTATATTATAAATCAATTAACTTTTTCCATTTACGCCATTCTATATCAAATATTTCCTTTGCAGAGTCGCCCTTACCAGTTGTAATATATTTTTGAACTCTATAATTGTCTTTTATTATGTTAATTAATGAATTTATATGTAAAGAATTGTGTAAACACCTCATTCTGTATATGTACTGCTTGATAATAATGATTATTTCATTATCAACCCTGTTGACAGGAGGATGATTAAAAGATAGCAATCCAAAGAGAAAAGATTTTTTGTTTATTGAAAAAGGAATAAGTAATGCTTGTAATAGCTTTACAAAACTTTGTCGTAAATTCTGTACTTCATTATATTCCCACAAAATATGAGTGATAGTTTCTCTTTGAGAATTACATAAAATACAAAGAGGGGAGGTAACCAGGCCAATTTTACACTCTGTATCAATAATATCATCAAAGATTTGGTTCCATTTAATTTTACCAGTTGGTATTGCATTATTCTTAATCAAATCATTATAAAACATTTTCGAACCTCTGGCACACTTGAAAAAAGGTTGTATATTTACTGGTATAAAGGGGGCAACTATGTTGGATTTTGTTAGATCATAAGCTGAGATAAACCCCTTTATTGAAGATGTGAAGCTGTGGTACTGCAGAAAATTTGTCACAAACTGATATTTAAGTGAAAACTCGTTAAAGAAATAAAAAGAACCTGCAGAAGCATCTTTTAAAACATTATATATGTTAACCACGCCTTTCTTGTACAAATCCCTGTAAAAAATATTTTTCCCCCAATACATATGTTTTTGTTATACCAAAGTGGTATTTTCAAGAGTAACTCATCCTTTCCTAAGTTGTCCTTTCGCAAACTGTATTTATACCATGATCTAAAAACATCTCTCCAAAATTGGTTTTTACATTTATTCTTGCATAATTGTATATATTCACTACCACAATTTGCCAGNGTAAACTGTGATACCAGCAGTGGTTTAATTATATGAATTCTACCAATAGGTGTTAAAGACCTTCTACTCCAGGTTTTTAGTAATGATTTTAGTTTAATTAGTTTTTTGTCATAATTCATCTTTGGAATTTCATGAAGATTTACACTAAACTCAATTCCCAAAAGTGTAAATTTGCTTCTACCCCACTGTAACTGTAGATTCGGTAAAAAGGTTTCTTCACTAAACTTTTTATTACCAATCCAAACCAAACCGAAATTTTGGCATACTCATTAAGTTCATCAATTGCTTCTGTCAGAGATTTTTCTGATCCATCTATGATAAGTGAGGTATCATCTGCATATTGGGATACTAATATTGGACAATTATCAATTTCTATACCTTGAATGTAATCATTATTTCGTAACCTGAGGGCCAAAATTTCAACACAGAGTATAAATAAATATGGGGCGATCGGGTCCCCTTGACGACAACCTCGTTTAATATTAAGAGAAGACGACAGATTACCGCCCTGATTAATGACTGAATAAGCGTTTTTATGTAAAGTTTTAACCCAAGATGAAATACTTTTACCAAATCCAAAGAAATTTAAGACTTGATCAATAAAAACCCAAGACACTGAATCAACTAAACCTACATTTAAATCTTGACTTAAACTTGATTGAACATTTAGTAAATAATATCAATATACTAACTAGGGGAAGTAACCACCTTAGTCATGATCCTAATTCTGCTATTTGAATATGTGTTCAGAGATATATTAAGTCTACTAACAGATTTTGAAATAACTGTTAATTGTAGTCCCAATGTGTATGTCTACATGTCTACATGTCTACATGAATACTCCT